TTTTTACTGATCTACATTGTAAAATTTTAGATAGAATGTATAAGTTCATAAAATTGCTCTTAGGTCGTAAATGCTCTGAATGCGAAGACTATTTCTGGGGAGATCCAACCACTGTGGAAGGATGTAAGAGATGTGAATGCAATCCAACTGGATCAGCTAGTCAACAATGTCACCGCAACAATGGAACATGTGTTTGTCTGCCTGGCTCCGGAGGTACAAATTTTTCTAAATTTTATCTTGTTTCGAATATCTGATGTGTTTTCCAGGAGATTTCTGCAATGAATGTGCGCGTGGATACACAGGAACATGGCCGTATTGTCAGCCATGTGGAGAATGCTTCCATCAGTGGGATAATATTATCCAAGGACTTAAATCGCAAGTCGAAAACCTTGTCAATACTGCAAGCAACATCGAGGATACTGGTGTGGCTTCTGCCTATGACGGAGAGTTTGAAAATATGGAGAAAATCTTGGATGAAACGAAAAAGAAGTTGTCTGATGCAAATGTTAGCAAAGAACATATTGAACAGCTGGACAATGAGGTGGCTAAGCTGAAGAAAGAGGTTAAAGCTTTTTCTCGTATCACTTTGATATACGATTTCTTTGTAATTAATGCACTTTAGGTTGCGGGAGCTCGCGAGAGACTGGACGGAATTGAAGCGCGAGTCTCGAACGCAACGCAGTCAGTCGATTTTGCTCAAGAAGACCTCAAACAGCTCCAAACTGATGCCACTCGTCTCACGGAGGCTGCTGATGATTTGCGCGAAAGAACGAACAAGATTAAGGAAGCTGATGTGCAGGTGAAATAGACATCTTATTCTCATGAAATCCTACCGTTGATGTGGTCTGGATAGTGCGCTAATCAATAGATTGACATCTCTAATTTTAGGGAGCCTACAATATCACAAAAGAATCGGCTGCGCGATCTCTGAATGCCCAGCGTCGAACGGATGCTGCTATTGGCAAGTTAGCTGAAGCGGAAAGTGAAGCTAGAGATGCTGAAGCTCTTCTTGAGAAGAACAGAGAAGACTTTGACAAGCAGTACTCCGAGAACGAAGCAGCTCTTGCTGAGAGTGAACATAAGGTTAGATTTTTACCTCTATTTGTATAGGCACGTCATGAGCTCTCATACTTTAAGGACACCACTCTAAATTGATTGCTACATATTAACATTTTCTTTGTTCGAACCTATATCATACATTTTTACCTCTCCATTTCACATAATCGCATGACTTTTATGCTCCTTGTTTTCAGATCCATATGCTTGAAGGAGCTTTACCACAATTGAATGCGGAAGTATGCGGTGGAGAGTCTGCTCCTTGTGATGCCCTTTGTGGAGGTAATATTCATGATAAACAGTTTTATGTAACGTTTTTGTTGATACAATATATTTTCAACTGCACGAATTTGATGTATTGGCGTTGCTTAGGTCCTGGTGTTTGCGGGTTCTGTGGCGGACAGTCTTGTCTGGCCGGAGCTGTCAGTAAAGCTGATCAAGCTAGGAGTTTCTCTCTTGAAGCTGATTTGAAGCTGAATGAAAAGCAGAAAGAAGCTGAAGAGGTACTCATTTGCTTTCTTGGTTATCTTATTCATTTAT